CTTTTTTTTTGTAGTGACTCAGTACCGGCATGTAGACCGTGTAGTTATTTTTCTTGAGTTACAATGAATTAGCAGAGAATTTTTGTGTTTGTTCTTTCGAACTTCTAGAACGGCTTTAAAAGGGTGAATTTGATGGTGGATTAAAGAATTATCACTATTCGACCGTTGGTGTTTTCTATTTTCTACTTAATTACGCTCATCGCAATAATCGAACCAAACCATAATTGTATACAAAGTGTCCCATAGTGCACTTTCCCACAATATTTCTACAACAATGTTGAGAATTATTGTCTCTGCTTATGCATTACTATTCCAGTTTGCATGAAGTGGCTCATATTTAAGAAATTGAACCTTTATATCGAGCAGACGCAAAAACTGACCAATTCTTCCAAGTATATAATCATATGCGCTAAATTCATGAGTAAGTACCAAAATGTCAACAACAAATGATTATGCCTTACAAGGCATTTCATCACCCAAATGAGACTGCAAAGTTCTAAGTGGCTCGTTAAAAATATTCGATGATATTCTTGTAGACCCAAAATGTCCAATGTGCTGTTTCGAGGGTCCATCATACTCCACTAACGAGGAAACAAATTCACTCTTACAACAAACTTCCCTCATTCTTTTGGTACGTAAAAAAAAAGAGTGTGAAAATTAAAGACGTCACCTAAAATTGGGTACTTATATATAAGTTCTTTTATGTGCATTTTTGGTTTTCAAGGAGACGTAGGCTGAACATTTTGGGCATGTACACAAAGTTGCAAACCCAAGTGAGTGTCATGAGAGATAATACAAGGAGGTAGTTGAGGCTTCCCTTGATTCTCATCCGGAGAATGCTACTACCGTGGTGAAGAAGCAACGGAAGTAGCATTGTTGCGTAAAAAATGGTGAATGGTGTTGTTTAATTCTTGTTCTTATTTCAAGTCTCGTCTTTAAAGTTAACTATACTTCATATGATCAATAATGAGACATAGATGTTTTTTCTAGTTGACCGGTTATAAGGTGGTACGTAAAAAATAATAATGAAGTACAGTATAACAGTAAAATTTTGAATGTTTGATTGTATTGCTGGCTTAGAGCTCTTTCCACAATGTTTTCATGCAGGAAAATAAATCTTACAACAGAGATTTTGTTTGCTTATCTCTACTTCCTATCTGAGAGACTGACCAACAAACTTTTAAAAGCCGCGTGGTCTAATGTATCTTACTATCTGGATGGGTAGTGTTTTTAGGGGAAAATGGTCTAGCACCCATTCCTTGAGCATACTTCCTCTTAGGGCCACCTAATGCAGCCTTTCTTGTCTATGGGATTCAAAAGCAAATCAATCTTCAAGGAATAATATATAGACTTATAGTAATAATCCAAGCTCAATTTCATTCATATATTCAGCTCAAATGTCCATTATGTAACATATGCAATATAATAACGTTAACAAATTACAATACCAAAAAAAAAGATTCAATAACATTACCATTTTCTTCCTCAAACTAAACAAAACATAGTTAGGCCATACATAAATGAAACGTCTTTGTAGATTAGGTCTTGGCCATTTAAGCTCTAACGGGCCATCATGGTTGAATTTTACACCACGAAAAGAAGAGATTTGTCGGTGCTGATTTATTATATAGACTAGAGTACTAGACTAACACAAAAATGATATCCGGAATATTCGACGCTAAAAAGGAAAAAGATAACATTCTTTAAGCACAACCCCAAATTCTTTAGAAGTTATAATATATGAAACACACAAAAAATATTGATTCAAAACCGAGAGCGCCCATAGGAGGGGCCAATTTTTTCGCTTAATCCCGCTTAGACCCACATTGATTTCTTTTTTTTATTTATTGCAAATGGATCAACCTAACTTTTATTTTAGCCATTATTAGTGTAGAACTAAAAATTCCCTAGTAATCTTGAAATAAACAATTAGATATTGTACTTTTCACAAATCGATTTTCAAGTTAATCAAATCCAATAAAGCTTTAGGCCAAGTAGATTTCTTCGTACCAAAAAAGGATCATATTATCATGTGATTAGTGTTATAGAGCTCCTCGCTAAACACAACACCACTCTTATTCCGAATATGGTGACACTAAAAAACACATTTTTTATACTAGTAAAAGCTAAATTACGCTTAGATAAATTATTCAGCGAAGCTCTAAAGGAAAAAGAAAAGGAAAAAATCAGTGAAAAGAAAAACATTATAGACAGATAATTAGACATGATGGGCTAGGTCCAATGAATATGAGTAAGGATAAGAAAATGAAAGAAAAAACACTTTCCTTGTGAGGAAGAAAGAAAATTCACATAAATTATGTTACAAGGAAACACAATGGGACTGACCAAAAACCCTTAAGAAATTATGAAAAATTCAAAAACTTGTTGTGATCACATGGTTGTATGGACTGAACTTGGACTTTTCTTCAATCCTATTGTTTCTTTTATATTTCCAAAGCAGATTCTTATACAATTTTTTATTCCTTAAATGTAATGATACTTCAAACTTCAAAGAGTAAAAAGAATAGTGTTGAAAGAAACTATTGTTTTTGCCTCCTAACACACAATACAGAAACAAAGTTTTAACTCTCATTCCATATGCCTATAAATAATCTTTTCAGATTGCATAACTTTTTCAACTAAATCTGTGTGTGAGAACAAAAATATAAAGAGATGGTTTTGATCAAAGAAAGGGAGATGGAGATTCCTGTTATTGATTTTGGAGAATTGGATGGAGAGAACAGAAGCAAGACCATGTCACTTCTTGATCATGCATGTGATAAGTGGGGCTTTTTCATGGTATGTATAATATCTTTATGCACAATCAAGCCAGTGTTTTCTAAGATATGTCTAGTGTATATCCTTGAAGAATTGGTGAATTTGCAGGTTGATAATCATGGAATTGATAAAGAGTTGATGGAGAAAGTGAAGAAGATGATTAACTCTTACTATGAGGAGCATTTGAAAGAGAAGTTTTACCAGTCAGAGATGGTCAAAGCTTTGAGTGAAGGCAAAACCTCAGATGCAGATTGGGAAAGCAGTTTCTTCATCTCTCATAAACCAACTTCAAATTTCTGCGAGATCCTAAACATTTCAGTGGAACGGAGGTAAAGTAAATAAGAAGTTGAATAGTTCCAAAGGCTTTACCATTTTACCTGTTTGTTTGTTATACTAAACAATGTGAGATGGGAAAAACTGACATTTGCAGCAAGACGATGGATGAATATGTTTGTCAACTGCACAAGTTTGCAGAGAGGCTCTCGAAGCTCATGAGTGAGAATCTTGGTCTTGATCAAGAATACATAATGAATGCATTTTCTGGTTCAAAAGGTCCGGCTTTTGGGACAAAAGTGGCTAAATACCCAGAATGTCCTCGTCCTGAGCTTATGAGAGGGCTGAGAGAACATACGGATGCTGGTGGAATCATATTACTCCTGCAGGATGACCAAGTGCCTGGTCTTGAGTTCTTTAAAGATGGGAAGTGGTTTCCTATACCACCATCCAAGAACAATACCATATTTGTCAATACCGGTGATCAGCTCGAGATACTGAGTAATGGGAGGTACAAGAGTGTTGTACACCGTGTAATGACAGTGAAGCATGGAAGTAGACTTTCGATTGCTACGTTTTACAATCCGGCTGGTGATGCCATAATATCTCCAGCTCCAAAGCTCTTGTATCCAAGTGGCTACCGGTTTCAAGACTACCTGAAGCTTTATTCAACCACCAAGTTTGGAGATAAAGGCCCCAGACTTGAGAGCATGAAGAAAATGGGAAATGCGGATTCGGCCTAGGAAACATCATCTGGCCTTTAATGCTTTATGTGTTTCACAACATAACTCTCCCTTTTTATTAAACTTTGTCTTCTTCTTGTGTTTCCTTATAATTCAAATAACAGCCATGTCAGGATCATGCTGATTCAGCTATACTACTTCACCAATAGAACGAACAGTTCACAACTATCACCACTTTGTTCCAATAAAAATTAACTTTTTTTTACTCTTTTGCTCTTTCTTCACTTCCACTTGAAAAGTTCCAAAGAAAAACTGAAGCAATCTCATCAACTTCTTAAAGTGTATACCTCACTATACCCAAGCAAAGTTGTCGAACTTGAGATTAGACACAGAGCTTGTAATCTAAGCTCTCAGATTGACAGCCATTTCATGATTTTCAAGATGTAACGCAACGCTTAGCCAAATCCACAAATCCATCATCTTTTTCCATATTCTCCCTGATCTGACTCATTTCCTTCCCAATTCCTAGAATCAACAAATAGCATTTCTGAATCTATATCAGCATCTGAAACTGAAAGCTAAGTGGGTATTGACTCAAACTCTTCTCGAATCCCATTACCATCCCAATCCCAATAAAAATCGAGATGAGAAAATTCATCCGCTAGTTTTTGGTTCACACATTTTATCGAGCAGCTTGTGTGCAATCCCAATCCTCTGAACGAAAACAAAAGCTTATCTCTTGACCATTACCCGACATTTCCCTCATCAGCCAAAGACAAATCCTGCTGCGAAAACTCTAATTCGAACAAAATTCCGAACAATGATTTACTCCATTTTTGCGTTCTGTCGAAACATTCTCAGGAAAACGAAACACGTTCAACGCAAATAACCCAAAGTCGTCTGTGCCACGTGGTTAGTTCTCATTGGTTGATAACTTCAGTAACTCGCAGAATGGAAACACAAAAGTCATCTGGTGTCTCCACGTGTCCACATGATTCTCTCTCCTTTAACCAAAAGCCGGTCCGACCAGATTAACAAGTTAACTTTATTACCTCACAACCCAAAACTTGTTCAAAACCTAACTTTTACATACTAAAGCTAAACTTAAACTATAGTATTTCATTCAGACTTTTCACATTTTCATTTTAACCTAATTTTTTTTTTTAAAAACCACACTCGGTTGTAGAAAAATCCAAATCAGTCCAAACCGGAACGGACCGGATCAGACCAGACCGAACATCGTTTTCTGTAAATAGCAGTAATAAGTTTCACACATCCCATCATCTCTAACCACCGACCTCATTAAGAGAAAAACAGAGACACTCCTCTCACTCTCATAATTTCATTTTCTTTCCAAAAAAAGCTCGAATCTTCAAGAACAAAGAGAGACAGAATTTAATGGCGTTAGCGAATAACTTAACGGCGATACTCAACTTACTAGCGTTACTCTGTTCCATACCCATAACGGCGTCAGGTATATGGCTAGCTTCAAAACCCGACAACGAGTGTGTCAATCTCCTCCGTTGGCCCGTCGTCGTCCTCGGCGTCCTCATCCTCGTCGTCTCCGCCACAGGCTTCATCGGCGCCTACAAGTAAGAATCAAACAACTTAAACTTTGAGAACACAGAAACAGAGAGAATTTTTCCGTAAAGATCTAAACTTTGAGCTCTCAAATTTCAGGTACAAGGAAACTCTACTAGCGGTTTACTTGTGTTGTATGGCGATATTGATCGGACTTTTGTTGGTGGTTTTGATATTTGCTTTCGTCGTGACCCGACCCGATGGATCGTATCGGGTTCCGGGTAGAGGTTACAAAGAGTATAGGCTTGAAGGGTTCTCGAATTGGCTAAAGGAGAACGTTGTGGATTCCAAGAATTGGGGGAGATTAAGGGCTTGTTTGGCTGATACAAACGTTTGTCCTAAACTCAACCAAGAGTTCATCACCGCCGATCAGTTCTTCTCCTCCTCTAAGATCACTCCTCTCCAGGCATGTTTCTCTCTTTCTTTCTTCTTTTATTCTCTTTTTTACTAAAAAAACCCCGAAACTTCTAGTTTCTTACATTTGTCTCCCCTAACAATTTCATTTTTCCGGTTTCGGTTTGGTTTAGACTAAACCGTTTAGTTTTTTATGCAATATGTGTTAACTTGTAAACTAATTTTTCTTGCTAGCTAGATCTTCGAGTCAAAAAGTCCATATAGAAAGTTAATGATTTGTAATAGTACCATTTTCTGAAAGTTATTAAGAGGTTACTGAATTCTTAAAGTAAAATCTAGACTAAATATCGGTTTTGCAACTATGCCAATGAATCATTGTGGTTTCAATTATATATTATTAGATGAGTAATGGAGATAAGATACGAAGTAAAAGATCATTTTTTGAATAAATCTCTAGATTATGTGAGACCTACGGTTTGTCCTTGCGATAGAAAAGTAAAGTACCGTATGTGGCTTTAATCATAAAGTTAAAAATATTCTCGTTAGCTTCTGTGATGTCAAAAAGAGCATTGTTCTTATTCTCTATATTCTTTTTATTTTGTAGCTTTAAGTTATTTGGTTTATTTCCTTATCTTTGACAAAACTAAAAAATGATATTTCCTTATCTTTGACAAAACTAAAAAATGATTAATCTTTACATTTTCTAGTGTTGGAGAGGACACTACCAAAACTTTCTTAACGTATCGCAGTTAGTATTACTCATAGATTAGGCATATTGAACACATATTTATTCCAAGTACAAGTATTTTGTGGTAATCACCATTATTGAACACATATTTATTCCAAGTACAAGTAGACTGGTGTAGAAGTTGCTGGATACCAAGTCTACAAGATTATATAGTAAAGATAACCAGAATTCAAAATTATACACTATCATAAGGACCCACCCATGCACCCACAGTATGGTACATGATAAACTATGTATGTTTTATCTGTTTATTAATTATATTTGTCCTTTGTCACTATCTCACTCACAAAATTCAATGATCCCATTAACTTTACGTAGTGTTTTTTCATTGCAACAAACTTGACAAAAATTTCAACTTTATCTATTCAAATTTATTAATTAAAATCACTTTCACAAATCAAATTTATTATTTTAAGCTTGAAACATGGAGAGATTAAGGGCATAGCTTAAGAACTTTTGTTCGAAAAAGATATTCACCAAAGGAAGTGGTAACAATACATCTTAGGTTTTTTGTTATATTTGAATAAGATTTTGGCATTCTTCTATCGAAATTAAGACTTAGTTATGTGGGCAATAAATATTTATTCCCACTATTCTTCATAAAAAAAATCACTTAAATTTGTGTTCTTTATTATGCTAGCTTCATTTTACATCATTTTATTCCTAAAATTTGTAGCAAGTTGTCATCCTAGTCCATTGGCACTGTAACAAGATTGGAACCACTAATAATTAAATAAGCCTAGATGATGAGGTTTTGACTGAATTGTATATCGTTTAGTCATTAGACATTATCAAATATTGGACCAATAATGATTTGATTCAATAATTACAATCACAAGTCTTTGTCTCCATAATGAAACATAATAGATAATTATATCCCTCCCATGTTGTCCCACTCACATTATAATTTTTCTTATACAAATAATTAAGATGGAAGAAATAAGTAGTTTTTTGTTAAAGACTTTAAGGATGTTGACAAAAAAAAAAAGGAAAAAGAAGAAGAAGATGTCAAAGAAAGAACTATACAATTTCTCTTCCTCGAGACAAAACCAAAATGTACTTCACACTAAATAAGCAAATTTTCAGGTTTCTTATACTAACTTTATAGCTTTCAGACTAAAACTAGTGTTTCATTGCTGTAGGTCTTGATTGTTTGTGTATGTAAAATTTTAGTTGTAAACACAAATGGTAGCGTATTAAAACTAAAAAAATTATCATAAATATAAAAACTGAAAGAGTTTTGTGTTTCATAAATGTGAATTTTGGTGTGTTTTCTTTTAAAATTTTCAATATTAATTTCAAATGCAACCGTAAAACTTGCGAATGAAGCATTAAATTTCAGAAATGCATACCCTAAAGGCCTGAATTCTACTTACAGGATCATCTGGATAATTTGTCTCTATGATCATTTCCTCGCCAAGCTTATAGTATAGCACATATTTATTAAAAATATCTTTAAAACTATGATTATCATATTTTCATTTGGAAAAGTAAAAAAACTATATATCTATCGTTCTTACATGTGATAAAATATTTGTTGAGCATTTATTTGGTCATATCTAATCATGACATTTTCTTGAACGTTTGTTGTTCCACAGTCCGGCTGCTGCAAACCACCGTCGGCATGTGGCTACAACTTTGTGAACCCGACACTGTGGCTAAACCCGACGAATATGGCTGCAGACGCAGACTGTTACATATGGAGCAATGACCAAAGCCAGCTTTGTTACAATTGCAACTCATGCAAAGCTGGTCTATTGGGAAACCTTAGAAAAGAATGGCGTAAAGCAAATCTCATACTGATCATCACAGTCGTTGTTCTCATATGGGTTTATGTTATTGCTTGTAGCGCGTTTAGGAATGCTCAGACTGAGGATCTCTTCCGCAAATACAAACAAGGTTGGGTCTAAAATGTGTTTGTGTATAAATTTGTTTGTAGTTGTTGAGATTGGAGTTTTCGGAAATTGCTTGTGATATTATGATTTCTTTGTATTTGGAAAGAGGGTTTTTCTTTTTATGGATCTTTTTTTTTTTATATATGTTTATGTTAGATTTCGCGTTGAAAGAAAGCAAAATTGAACTAGTATATTGTTTTGGATATGCGTGTGTAATGCTGTTTTGGTTTTTATATTTTCACCTCTTTTTGGGGAGTTTAGGTGGTGTTTAGAAGTTTGGGCTAGAGGTTACTGGCTGCGGAATCTATCGTTCATCACGGATTGGAATGTTGATGGTGCGTTGATAAGCCAAAATGGCATATGACCATGAACTCATAGTGCCCTTCGTGAGTTCTCGAAAGGCAGTTTTCTTCACGTCTGTGGCTCTTACACTGCCTCTAGGCTGTAGATCTCCTGAATTGCAAGGCAAATGAATGATTTCTGTTGGTGATTAACATATATGCAAGTATGCGATCGAGGATATACATCACATGCATTGTTTTTTATGTAAGGTTGAGTTATGATGCTAGAACATTTTCTTTTTTTTGACATCGACATTTACTATTGGATCAAAAAAGTGATACTCAAAATAAAATGTCACAAAATGGCATTAATTTAGTAAGACAAAAAATGTCCATAATTAAAAAAAGTGAGTGTTGTTTGGGTTTTGGAGAGTTCTCTCAGATTCTTCTACTAAGAAAATCCATAACCGTTGGTTAAAACATAATTATCAACAAAGACTTCTCTTTTGTTTGGGAGCTCTCATCTTATTAATTGAGAGAAGTGTATGACGTTCCAAAACATAATCACCAAACACAAGCTAAAGATACAAAGCTCCTTTCGTCCCGTGGACTTCTATCTTTGTTTTCTTTTGTCAACAATAGTAATAATCAAACAATTTTTTTCCTGGATCTCAATAATCAAATAAATATTAAATTAACAACATCGGAATTAACATGTTTATTATTCCTCTTATCAAATTTATATAAACCTAAGCTGTCTTTAGACTTTAGCTATAGTACAATTCATTTCTAACCTTAAAATAATATTATCCAGAGATTTTTGTAGTTTCGTAACGTGGTCGAAACTGCTAGGTAAGTTCCTTGATCCATAAAATTAGTATATTCAATGCAAGATGAGCTTTCATAGACCACGATTTAAACATTATGTTACAATTTTTTATATATCGTAATCTTAACTATTTATTATACTAGGTTATGAACCCCGCGATATCGCGGAGAACTCATTTTCAACAAATATATTTTATTACGTTTATGTATTAAATTATTATTATAATATATTTAAATAATTGAATTATTATATAAAATTAACTATGTCTTAAAGTTATATCGTAAATATTTTCTAAAGATATAAAAAAAAAATTATGAACAAAAATGTAAAAAAAAAATTATGATTAAAAAACACTTTTGAAACATTTTTTGTAAATATAAAATTATTTATAAGTGACAAAATAACTAACGAAGAGTTATAATATAGAGAAAAAAAATTCTAGCGGTCAAAACCAAAAAGATATAAAAACACAACCAGAAAAATAACCGTCAACACAAAAAATAACCGTCAATATTTTAACGAATTGTTGCGATAAAAATACATAACCGAAAAAAATAACCGGCGTATTTTAACGGAAAGTTGCGATAAAAACACAACCGAGAAAAAATAACCGTCAATATTTTAACGAAAAGTTGCGATAAAAAGATACAAAAAAAAAATGTCAACATTTTTACGAAAAGTTATGATAAAAATACACATCAGAAAAAATAACTGTCAACGAAAAATGTAACCGTAAATATTTTAACGAAGAGTTACGATAAAAAGATACAAAAGAGAAAAAATAAAAGATATTTAAATGAAAAATTGCGATAAAAATACACAAACGGAAAAAAAAAAATAAACGTCAATATTTTAACGAAGAGTTGCGATAAAAAAACACACACCCGAGAAAAAAAACCGTCCAATATTTTAAAGGAAAGTTGCGATAGCAAGACATAACCTGAGTAAAATAACCGTCGATATTTACTGCTCATACTTC